TGATCCAGGGCAGCTCACACACCAAACTGGAGACAGATCGGCTTCATCTGACCACCAAACAAAGGCCATTAAAAAAAATCCGTATTGGATTTCTGTGTTCCTTAAATCTTACTGTCTTACCCACAAGTAGGCCTGAGGGTCTGGCCAGACTAACTTAGAGTGTTTCTGGGATAAAACTTTGTCATGATACTGGCACAAGGCAGGTGAACTCCTTCTGCAGCTAGCAGGACACATCTTCTCGGACACATCTCCAGGCTTCTCCTGGAGCCAGGCTCTGGTAGTTTCTGTTTGGGTGTTTTAAGCAGCTTCTGCCAAGTGTCCAGGCTGGGATGGAGTAAAACAGAGCACCCCTGGAATGAGTCAAGTGCCTTTTCCCCCAGCATGAGGCTGGGGGTACCTCCCTGGGCTCAGTTGCTCCATCTCTAGGGTGCGTTTTTCAAGTGATCTAAAATTACCAACTTTGTCAGGGCCTGACATCTTCAAAACTCCTGGAAATGCTTGGGTTTCAACTGCCCTCTTTGGGCCTTTTGTTCACTTGTTCAATAAGTGCTGTTGTAAAATGCAAACAGAACATGAGAAACAGAAGATGTTATCTAGCTTTTATAAAAAGATGACACTTATCTGTAGTATCCCTGGTGAGGGGCAGGTAATAAACCAAGCATAGTCTTATCAGTCACTTCTTGAAGATGCCTGAAATCCCAGTACAAAGTGGAATAAGCATAGTATAGAGTAAGCTTAACTTGATTTATAATATTCTACTTATAAATTGTGTCATGCTATCCATAAGCAAAGTAGGATTGACATCTGAAAAAGCTTTCCAGGGTTTGTTCTCCTGGGCGTGGTCTCTTTACCCCAAGCCCTGCACCCCTGCCCCCCCCCACCTTTTTTTTTAATGCAAATATTTTATTCTATAGTGGCTGCCTAAGGCCTGTGATGGTTGATATTGTGCCAGTACAGGCATTGTCTGAGTGGATTCTCTATGGGGTGTTGGATGGAACTGTGGTGGCTGGAGTGGTTTAGGCAAAACTCATTTTTCTCCTGGAGGTCACTGTTGTGGAAGGGGAAGCCTGTTCATTCCAGCTCACTGCTACAGACACTCTCTGACCCCTGCAAGCTTTGCTGAGGCAGCAGAAGGCACAGGATCAATGCAAAAACCAAGGAGCATCTGTACAGTGGTGCCACAATGCTGCACCTCCCAGCATCACTCCCTTGAAAAGCCACATCCCTAAAACAGTAAATTAGAACTACTTACACTGGTTAAATGTGTGTGTATTGTATAAGAGAACATTTTACAACTAGCCAGTTCTTGAGCACTGAGGAACTAGGAACATCGAAATCTAGAACAGTTTACTTCAGATTTGAAGAAACATTTCTCAGCATATCTCAAAAGCTGATGAAAGTGGCTGATTTTTTGGTCAGCACAAAGCCACAGAACAAATTTTAAAGTAATTTAGACCATGGTACTTTTACTGTAAATAATGTAACATTGTTTGGCAGTAGTTTTATGTCTGTATCCCACACAGTGTCAAATTCAGCTCCTGCAACTGATATTTGGTGAAATTGATATCAAATTTTAATTTACATTGTTAGGAAAACTATTAAAAATACCGTACCTTGTAGTTAGTCTTACTACTGAGAAATATCTGCTGGACAGCACACAAATTGCTAATGGTACTGTTTGGGTTTTTTAAAAAAGATTAATAAAATACAAGCAAGGTAGAAAACAGGATTAAAAAGCATTGGTTTGGATACAAGTTTTTCTGAATTGACTGGAGCAATAAGAAACCCGAAAAACACATTGCACATATGTGCACCCTCTGTATAAAGACAGACATACAAAGTGGGAAACTGGTGGTGCACAGGGGTAGTACACTAAAGTCTCTGATTCTGTAAACTTGAATTCCTAATTTTATAAAAAGGGGAACTGAGTCTGGTTCCATTTTTGAGTCCCCATGGGTTACACTTCAGACTAGCCCACGGTTTGGCACAGTACACTTTTAAGAGGCAGTCTCTGCTGAAGGACCCCCAGGACTGGAAAATGAGGCATAAAATGTGTCAAGACCAGGTGCAGAGGGAGAGTGTGAGCAGTGGCCTTGCTGCCTCCTTGGAATTAGCCAATACTGTTAGTCCTGTACTCTCATGACTACTACGAGTTTCACTATTTGCAAAATCAGATCTAAGTACAAGTTCTGTCGTTTACTGTAGCTAACTAAGCAAGTACCAGAAGCTGTGCAGACTGAGATTTCTAATTTAGATCTATTCTGATTTAGCTCAAGCTGATTCACAGCAAGTGTAAACTAAACCAAAACAAGAGCGTCCTCAGGAGTTTGTGGGCAGCGTAACTAAAACAGGTTACTTAATGGAGTACATCTAATATTGGGTTAACTCTTCTTAACACAGGGTATTTGTAATGCAAGAGGAAATAAAACTAAACTAGAACAGGAAATCGGCAGAATAAACTAAGTGAGGGTTAAAACAGAAGGGGTCTCATTGTTCTCCCAACAACACAAACCCTCTGAAATTAAATCCCTAAAAAAATGCCAAGTCTCATTATGGACCTGATTCTCAGGTTTTCATTGCTTTTGTTAAGGTTACAGAGGCTGGGTCACAGGGACAAGATGGCAGAAGGGAGCCCTACATTTGAAGAGCTTTAATGAAAAGAACCATGATTCAGATGGCAGGACCCCCATTCAAGTCTGTGGGTGCATAACAAATGGAGAATCATGTCTCACAGACATCAAAACAGCCTCTGTTCCTGGGAAGCAGTTACCTAAGGCCAAGAGTCACAATTCTATTCTCTATTCTCCTTCTGGCCACGTTCCACTTCCCCTTTAAGTGTACTGATTCCTTTAGAAAATTGTCAGGTTATTCTGCCTTATCAATCATAATCGGTTCTACACCTTTTTTTCCCCCAAATGTTTATTTTTACTCTATATCTAGCATGCATTTTACAATTCATTTCCCACTTACCCTTTCTAGCTAAGGCAGAATGTTGGCCCTGGTGTTACCAATTGGTACTACAGGAATCTATTCACTCTACAGTAACATACATATTCCATACCATAATTCAGAACTGTCCCACACATGGGAAAGAAAAAACATTACAGGGAAACGATCTCATCTTAAGGGAATAAGTTGCATTTAGAAAGCTGAAGGCCTGATTCTGGAGTCATCATTCAGACAAAACAGTTCATAATTTCAGTGGGAACACAGCTGGAATGAGGGTGGGACTGTGTTCTTGAAGTCTCAATTCCAAATCTTTTAATTATCCTTAAATCAGACAGGAAGATACTGGTCTGCAAATTGAAGAGAGTTGTTTGGTTTAAGGTCTACCTGTACTGACAGAAGGGTTTCCAGTCCCAGGAGGCTTTGGCTGGGGCTGGTCTGTGCCCTCCCTTCCCTGCTGCCCGGTTTCTCTGCCCGGCTCTCTCCGGTGCATGCAGTGCGGGCGCATGCGGCTGCTGCAAGCACGAACTACAACTGTCACAGGCTAAAGAAAGAGAAAAAGCTGCGGCTTCGTAGTTAGACAAAGAAATGATGCAAAAAACCATTGAGCGGCACTAACTCACAGACTAAGTACAAACTAAATTGTGCTATATACTAGTATAAAAACATGTTTTAGTAAGAATGGCACTGGTTCAGAAGGAATTGGGACTTCCATCTTGGTTCCGTTCGGTCCACAGTGAGAGCATTGTAGTACAGGCCTGCCCTATTGCCTGAGCCACTTGTGACAGTGGCTTTTGGCCACAGCCCCTTCCATTTCTTCCCTTTTTAGATCCACATTGTTGGTACTTTCTTGGAGTAGCCCAAGTCAGGTCTGGTCATCTTTCCTAACGTGGCACCAGAATAGTTCATTCTTATCCTCTGATATTTTTGAACTATCATTCATGTTTCCCTCTTTTAAACTCTCAGAGCTGGTCACTTTTAGGGGTCATCCTCTCCCGTAGACACCATGAGACGCATTGCTACTGGAAGGTGGTCTGTCAGGCCTGCCAGCTGGGTAATAAAGCTGAACTCTTCCACTTCCTGCAGAAGGAGAACAAAACAAAGATAAGGAGCTGAAAAATCAGTCTGTCATTCCACACATCAGAACTCCCTTAGTGTATTATAGAGGTGTGGGCCAGCCTGGTTTGGCTGGGCTAATGGAGAACTGCCACTCTGGGCATGGCATGTGCTGCAGAGGATGAGGTGAGGCACTGCTAGCATGCAGCTGAGCTGGTCTGGATGAAATCTGTTGCACATTCTCTTTCCATTTACAGTAACATCACTGTTGTTCCAGACAGACTCATCTGCAGTGCTGCAGTAGGTGATCCATGTGCAGGGTATGATATATAGAGATGTGAATGAGCTCCTTGATTTCATCATGGAGCTCTGTACAAGGCAAGGCCCTACATTAGGAAACAAACTGCACCCTACAAGTTTTCTCTCTAGGTACTCCCTTGTGTTAGTTTCTGCCTACATACTGCAGAGTTGTAACTTAGGTAGGTTTATATAGGCATTAAATAACGTCCAGACACTCGAAAACATTAAAAAATATTCAGACTGCAGGCACAGGAAAAGCATCAGGCAAAACAGCTAGGCAAAAGTTTAAAAGGCATGAAATTAAGGTTGGTTGGTTGTTTTAGAAGAGAAATACATCTATCAGTGCTGCTGCTGGAATCTTCAAAGACAACTTTCTTATGTAGTAGCTTTACAAACATGATACCTGCATGCAGAAGTGGAAAACAGCAAAGCAGCAGGTCGTCCCAGGAGTATGGGTGTTAATCCAAGCAGAACAGGCTGCAGTGCCATTCAGAGAAGTGTGTTGTGCAAGTTACAGCCTTTTTGGCAACTCTGAAACTCACCACTTTCCATTCCAGGTAGAGACCTTCTTCTGTATAAAGCATATAGTCAATCCTCCTCCCGTTTCCCTTCAGTGATGCTTTCCTCCCCTTCTGACTGGAACCATGGTTCTTGCTGGTGGGATAGACTAAGTATCCTTTCCTTCCTTCTTCACTTTCCAGCACCCTATTTCATTAAAAAAACAAACAAAGCAAGTTTTAATGTTTAAATATTTGCTCATCCTGGCTATTTGTGCATTACCCAGGGATCTCTCCAAATCCCTGGTGAGGATAATCCCAGTCCCAAAGGACTGTTAAACCTGTAAAGCACATCTTTTCCCAAATGTGATTTCCAGTGTGAGGCTGCTCTAACTGCTGACAGTGCTCTTAAAGCCTCATGGCAGGCTTGGTATCACTGGTGCTGTCCCAGAGCTCCACTGAAGCAGGAGAACAAACACTGAGAGGGGAACCTGCTGTCCGTGCTGTCAAGCAGCTCAGAGCCCCTCTGCTGATTTCCAGTGTTGCTGAAACTGGCAGAGGAGGAAGTTGTTTCCTGGATTGTATTAGTACAAACCTGAGCATTTTGATATAAACCTCTCCTTTCTGATCAGACCAATTCCTGAAATTACAACATCCAGCTTTACAGACAGGGTATGGCTGAGGGCTGGTTTGCAGGAACACACATCTGGGTACATGGTGGGTGGTTTTAATCAGCGTCAGATTACTGTGTCTTAGACCCCAAGCTCTTCCTTCACTAGAAATGACAGCCTAATTTACTTGATTCCTGTCTGTGACACTGCAAACTCCTCCACACGGAGGAGTTACTCAGAAGGTGTGTTAGCACTGCCCCCACCTTGCAAGGAGATTACCCAGCCCAAGGCCACAAACAGAAGAACTCAAAAGTGAGAATTCGTTTTCTAGGTACCAATCCTGTGTTCAAGGAAATAAGATGCTGCTCTCCCATTAAAATACTTACTTTGGGTGCTTAAACATTACCTGTAGGTTTTAAGCAGAAGTCTGCTAATGCCCTGAGCAACTCAATCTAACTTTGAACTGAGCCCAGCTTTGAATGTGACCTTGGACCAGATACCCCACAAGGATCGCTGTCACTCTGTTCTTACAGTAATCCTGTGCTGTTCTGTGCTGCTTTGCTGTTGTGTTGGATTTTGGGGGAAACTTGTTTTACCCTCCTGTGTCCTATTTAAAAGCTGTGCCAAAGGAGCACCGAGGGGAGCAGCCCCAGCCGTGCAAGCCAAAGCTGGACTGGGACCCGCCCGTGCCAGGGTTTGTGCCCAGGGCGACATCAAGTCCAGCACAGGTGAGTGGCACAGCCCACACAGACAGGGGCTGCTCAGGCTGTGGTTTTGCTGTATCTGCCTTAAAATACAAATTTTCAAACCCACCTCCTCAAAAATCTCCTTCCTTTACTCACCTGCCAAAACCTGAGCCCACGGTTCTGTGGTTTCTCTTGCAAGAGTTGATTATGCCATTGAGCTGCATCAGCTGTTGCAGGAGAAACATGAGCCATGAATTTGGGCCCCAGCAGGCACAAGGCCTTTAATTTCACCTTAGGAAAAAAAAGATCTTTTGATTGGTTGTTAAGACTAGACTTGGATGGGTTTTATGGGGCTGGGTTCAGGAATTTTTTTAATGCATGCAAGTGAGAGTACAGAAAGGAGGAAAAACAAGGGAGAAGCACTCATGATATGTTTTAATGTGTGAGACTCAGATGGTTGCTTTGTCAGATTTTGGGATTTTGGAAGGACCTGAGCGGTGGCAGAGGGGACTCAGCATTGGCTGCAGCTGATTAGGTCTCAGTAGTGTTATAATCTCTATGTTTGGGCCAGTTGGTATGTTTGAGGTGCACTTGATGTGCTGCAGCAGATAACAATGACAAAACTGACGTGTAGTCATTTGATCAGAACTTTTCTTAAAACCCCTTTGGACTTAGGGAGGTACTGAAGGTCCTTAGAGCTCACTGTAATCAGTTTATGAAAGTAAATTTTCTATGTTGCTTTGTTTTAATAATAACTCACGTTAAATGAACTTATTGTCTGCACCCCATTTTGATTCTCCAAAGAGCTCTTGCAAATTATTCACTTCCTGAGATTGTTTTTGTAGGTTCAAGGAAGGAAGTTCTTTGATGATACTGACCTCTTTCAAAAATTGTATTTATATTTGGCAAAACTAATTAAGTAACAAAATAGAAGAAACTGCTGATTAGCTCTGCAGCACTACTGCAAAAAAATCTTATTTGCATTAATTTAAGACATGAATTTGTTTCAACTTCAGTTATGTCTTTTTAAAAGTTTGTGAGTGCTGGGTATTCACTTAACTGCACAGGTGCTGATTGAAGGGAAATATTAATTTCAAATACATGAGGGAAGCAAATTGTAAATGTGTATGCATGTGCTGCTGCTGAGAACTTGCAGCTCTCTGTGCACAGGGGTTTGCTCTTTGTCTCTCCAGGAAGTCGACACAAGAACAGAACATGGCTCAGCCGTGCCGGCAGTTAAACCCTGACAATTTGAGGGAACGTTTCTAATCATGACTGAGCACAACTAAACCAATTTTATCAGAGTAAGTGTCTTGATTCATAGGGTACAAAGAAAAGGAGAATGAAATAATTGGAACTTTGTTTTTCCCTGACAGGGTTTCAATCCCAAATGCCCCAGAACTGGAGTGTGAAAGCCCCATCCCTGTGTTGGTTGCTTGAGTGCTGCTGACCCAGCTGCAGTAAAGGAGCACCAAGAGCAGTGACTGCAAAGGAGCCATAAAGCAAAACTCCTTCATCCCAAACCTGAAGGGACCAGCTCTCATTCTGGCCAGGAGCACCTGAGCTAAGGCAGACTTTTCTCGCTGGTATCAAAGCTTTTAGCCCAGAACTGTGAGCCCCTGTCCCACAGAGGAGACTGGAAAAAATTGCATTTAAGTTTTCTCTTAGCTGTGCTGGAATGTGCTCTCCTAGGCCTGCCTCTGGTCAGGGTTCAGAGATAAAACTGGCTTTATTCCAGTGCTTAACTTAAAGATGACAGTCATCTCTGTGAGATGGGATTATTTGTGTGCATTTCTTGAAGCCTTTCTGAGCAGAAGCTTGTGTGGCTTCTAGGACTGTGGCAGGGCCCAGGTTGTTACATCTAGCTAATTAATTGTTTGATAATTGTAAATGACTTGCTCATTATTTGTACCAAGTCTGTTGTTCTAGTTATATATATATATATATCTAAAATAAAACATCTTTTATATATGAATATATATATAACTAACATCTGTTATGTACACTGTGCTTAACACAAAAGACATAGTTAAGAATGAGTTGTTCTGCTGCTTTTATGGCCTATTTATTTTAGTAATGTGAAATACTTAATTTTATTTATAAACCAGAGAAGAGTGCTGATGAAGAAATACTTCTCAGGATAGCTGACATTGCCAATTTAAATGTCTGTAAAGCTTTATCAAAGTTTATTACCAAAAAAATTGAGAATGGATCAATTCTAGGCAGTACTCTGCTTTGCTGTGTATATGAACAATATTTGTTAGCTAGATAGTGCCCCACAGCCACTGTGCTATTTAACATTTAAAGGTCTTTAAAGCCCAGATTCCATTAATTGCTTTAAATTCCCTGGAATTTCCTTGCAAATTCCTTGTTTGCCAGTCCTTTGCAGAGACAGCAAGACAGGCTCCCTCAGCCTCCCATGGCTCTCCAATACATGAGCACCTCCACAGAATGCACACATACAGAGCCCTGTCTGCCTGCAGAGCTGCAGAAAGAGCCAGGGGAAATTACATTCTCATATAGGTTATTTCATCAGTGCAAAAGAACTATAACACGTTGCAGAAAATTGAAAGCCACCTTAGCAGGATAGAAGTTTTATGTATATTCTGTTCCCAGCACTCAAGGCTATTTTTCAGTTGTCACAGCCAGAGGTACTGTGCATGCCTAGAGGTAGCAGAAGTAATATTCTTAATTTGTTATTGATTATTTGATGGCTCCCTATTTAACCAGTCATGTATTTGTCAGTGGAACATAATTGCTGAACACAAGTAACTCTTCAGGGAATAAAACATAATACTCCAAAAGGAATTTTGTGACACGTTGTTTGAAGAGGCCACTTTAAACCACAGGGTTTGTTTGGGGTTTGGTTTGGCTTGGTTTAGTTTTCTTAGGGAATGAAGGGAGTTAGGTTTTGTTTTGGTGTTTTGTTGTTTTGTTTTTTTTTAATTCTCCAAACCTACTCGTGGAGGCATAAATTATAATATTACACCTACATACAGATTTGCATTAGCAAACTTGATTGTAGAGCCAAATTACCTTATTTTTGCTTTCCAGAAATCCCTTTCATATGTACTGAAGTATTGTTTTTAATGTATAAATAGAAATATCTGGAAAATTTGTAATCTCTGAAATGTGCAAAGCAGGATTCGCTGTAAAAAAAAAAATTTATTTTCGATGTAAACTAAAGCCAAACCTGATGCCTAGAATTCAATTTCTTTTTCAAAAATGAAAGAAATTTTTAGGGTGTGGCCTCACTTAATACATTCAACGAAGTGTCCATCTATGCCATGAAGTGTACTGTGCTTGGTGAGTAATTACATCAACTTCCTATAATGTACCATTTGCATTATGTGTGTCAACAGAAACATCTGGACTGACTTCTTAATTTAAATACCTTTACCTCTGTAGTATATTTTGGTAATGCATAGTTAGAACATCTTTTTTATATATATATATATATATATTTAGACATCTTATATATGTATATATATAAAAGACATCTTTATATATATATATATACATATATATATATATAAAAGACATCTTTTATATGTATATCTATATAAAAGAAAACATCTTTTACATATATATATGTAATTAACATCTGTTAATCATGATGCTGAGGTATTTATTTAGCACAGTAGACTTGCCTTCATGGTAGAAAAGGTGACAAAAGGATTGCCACATTCATTAAGTGCTGCTCTAAAATGTACAAAGCTTATTAATTTCTCTCCACTGGCATATTATTTAACAAATAGTTATTTAAGAAATTTATCTTAAGACTTCTGCTAATTAAGATTTTTTTGTATTTCTTGTGACTCCCCTAGCTCAAACCACAGACACCTGTTTCTCAGTATCAAACACTCTAAATTAGAGTTGATGCTGCACTAGTATCACTGGAAGATGCTGAGCCATATTTTCAGTTCTGTCTGCTGTGCAGTTTAGTTCCTGTCTGTTTTTGTGAGCTGGTGTTCTCAGGTGTATTGAACCCTGCAGGGAATGGGTAACTCAGTAGTTGTTGGGCTGGGGGTGGTGTTTTAAACTTTGTGGGGTTTTTATTTGAGGAAAACTACATTTCCTTTTGGCTGCCCTTTGCAGTGCTGTGACCTCAGAACTGGCTGCCTGCAGAGACTTTCAGACAAGCTGTCCATGTACTCTTCTTGGGAGTGCTTGGAATTTCTTGTGTTATGGGGCTGCCCAGACAGGACCAGCTCTGGAGACAAAGAGACACTGCCTGCAGCTCTATCATCTTTCCACCCACTGAAGCCAACCATATTTGACTTAGAAAAAGTCTCTTTTCCTGCCCCTTTTATCCTCTTCCCCAAACATCCCTGGGTAAAAATTTGATTATTTGTTTTGTTTTCAGTCCATAAAATACCTCTCAGTCTGAACATCTGAAATGTTAAACAGCAAGCAATGAACTTGCTTTTTACAGAACTGTCTAAAATGTGTGGAAAGGTTAGGAATTGCATACTTCTGTAGGTTATCTGGGGTGCACACTTCTTCATCATATAATCCTTCAGGATCCAACAGGGTACCTGTGAACAGAAAGGGAGACGTGAATGTCCCAGCATAACTCCTGCGATGTGCCTCTTGGGAAGCTTGCAGAGGTACGGGTGTGTGGGAGAGAGGAGTCTGCAGTGTGTTCACTCCTCTCTCCAGACCTCCCTCCTACCTGACACCTTGCAAATGTCTCCACACTTTCACTTTCTCAGCACCCATGACTCTAATTTGTTTTTCTCCTGCCACAGAGTAAAGCCTCATTATTACAAAATTCTACTTAATTTTATTATCTTCAGTTATTAAAGCTCCTTTGGAGAAAGCATTAATTCCTGTTCTAAAACTTCGTGAGTTCAACTGAGTCTCAAGAGGCATTAATATCTCAGAGTTGCAAGAAATCTTTTATAATACAAACCTTACAAATTCATGGAGTTGATTTGCTTTGATACATCCTCACTGACAGTATTTACTGAGCACCAAAGGGAAGACTCTGAGCAGAAGCTGCAGACTTTCACTGCATGCACAAAGTACAGAAACAATAAATTGGCTACCTTCCCCTTCAAGTGATCTAGAGATTATTTTAAGGAGAATATTTGGGGAAGGCATTCAAGTAGCTTGATGCATGACTTCTAGAATGTGGAATGCAGCTCAAGGTCTCCGATTGGTTCTTAATTATCATTCTACCAGATATTGTTAAATTCTGTAAAATTTATGGTCTAGAAATACCCCTTATAAATATTTGTCCTGCACCAAACTGCTCCTGCTGGCCAGGTGAAGCAGTGACAGAAGGGAGGTGTCCCCACCCTGGGAGCTGGAGAAGTCTTACCAATTGCCCAAGGCTTATCCTCCCCAGGACCAACTCGACACGGGTCTTTGTAGTGTGTAAACAGAGAATGCTGCTGCTCCAGCTTGTCCTCTGCAGGGAAAGAACAACCCCAGGAAAAGCCACATCAGCTCCTGGTTGTGAACATGTGCACAGCTCTGTGTTCTGCCACAAGAGCAACACCAAGCCCTCGTTTTTCCTCAATAGGATCCTAAATACATAGGTTTGATTTGAGTCACTTCAGCCACAGTGTTACTGCACAGCAGGATCTTGCCTCTGTCAGAAATTCTAGCAAATGCTTGCTATTAACAGTGCTTTCCTATGCTTTTGTACAAAATCTTTTCAGTGGAAGATACTTTTGGTAGTTTTCAGCTCTAAGCTGAAATGAAAGTGTTTCAGTGTACCTCTTCCCTCTGCCACTGCCATTGTTTGCTTACACAGTACAAAACTCTTGTTGAGACAGAACACCCGGAGGAGAGCTGGGCTGTCTTCCCAATGGCAAAGGAAATGCCTGCTTGTGGGCTTATTTACATATCTCAAGTCTGAAGACAAAACCTTATGCTTTCTTTGCTCTAGAAGAATTCACTGACTTAATGTTTTCCAAGTTAGATCAGAGAAAGGACAGGCAACTGATAATTTGCTTGGGATGTTATCTACAGCATTAAAGATATTCTTAACATAATCAGCAGGACTATCAAACTTTAAATTGAATTCTTCCTAGTTGCTACAGTGCCCCTTGCACTGAAAGCATACAGCCCATCAAGCTCCTAGGATCACTCGGTAAGAAATCCACCAAATTGCACACACCAGCATTTCAGACCCTGAGCAAACCAGCAGGCTCCAGTTCTGTGTGTGCTGCTTCTCAACACAATCACCATAGCTGGGAAAGAAACTGGAACCTGAAAGTGCCAATGGCTACATTTGCCTTTGTTGAATGGCAAAGAAACTGCAAACAGCTCCTGAAAACTTCCTCACAGCACTCACAGCTTTTACAAGGCTAAAACATCTTAGCAACACTTGGGGGCTCTTGGGAGAATATTCACCTCAGTTTGGAGCTGCTGCTGTTGTGTATTTGTCCCTGTCTATGGCAAGAGCACATGTGAAAATGGGAAATAAAGTCCAAAATAAAACTCTGAACTGTGAGCTGTGTCTCTTAGACAGCCCAGCTCACACACCAAGGATCACAACAAATCTCCTCCTGTAAAATGCTGGTCTTGCCAAGGAAAAAGCTGCTGCTCTCCCTGCTGAACAAAAAGGTGGAGTGAAGCAGTGCTGTGCTCCAGCTGTCAGCTCGTTTGCCATTTTGTTATTCTGTCTTTAGTACAGCTGACTGACAGCTCATCTGGCTCATTACATCTTTCCAGCTAGCTCTCAGTCTTGAGAACATGCTCAGAACTGCAAGGAGATTGAAAAACTAATTTTTTAGGGAATCCTGGAGTCGTAGCAGATGATTGGTAGACTGACCCTCCCTAAGTTCTGCCACATGGGCAACACAGAAAACTGCTCTTCCTGTCTGAGCGGCCAATTGGTTTGTTTCATGTTTATGGAAAAGTAGAAGATGAAATCTGCCATTTTTCATTTCTCCAAGTTTTCCCTTTTTGTATCATATGTGTACAGAATCTGCCTCATAACCAAGATAGATTAAAAAATATAAATTTACAACAGTGGGACCATGACAAGTCAGAGCTGATGACACAAAACTTTGCCCATCTGATTGGAAGGCTTTTTTTCTTATGCTAAAAGGTTTAAAAACATAATAGACTTCTACATAAGTCAGTCCAAAGCAACATGACAGTAAGGAACTTTCTGATAACATTCCCACTAAGTGTGAATTCCCTGTGCAAATGTTGCCATAATGTTCTGTAAAGCTGGAGGGGAAAACTGAGTTCCAGAAAATTTGTCATAAGCATAAGGTCATTCATAGACCTAAAGATCTTTGAAAACTGTACTGTCAATATAACTAAGAATAGAAGCTTGATATTCACTGAAACATTAATTAGCTGTTGCATCAGTTTGTGGGGTGGGAAAGGATACAGAAAATCACAAAGAGAATTAGAGGAAGCTGGTTATTGCTTTAAAAAAACTTAAGATACTCAATTAACCTATAATGCTAGCAAATGTCCCTAAAACAATGAGTAATGTAAAAAGGGAGGAGAGAACTTTAAAACATTGCATTAATCTTGCTTAGTACATATGGAAAGAAAGCAATCTGAAAATAAAGAAAAATAAATAGCCAGCTTAGTTCCAGTTTCCAGGCTGGGTGCATTTTAAAGGGGAGGGTGATATAAATAAGTGTCAGAGATAGCAAAGATTAAAATTAATTTTTATAATCTATTTTTCAGTCCTCTTTAGCAGTAGTTGCAATGTTTACAACTATTATTTCCAAAAGCAAATTGTTATTTTTGCTTTTTCATTAAAAAGACAGCTCAGAATTGCATTAATTATGGTCTGTGCTTCTTGTGAAAGATCTTGGGTAGAGTGCCAACACTTCTCAGGTGGAGAGCCCTGACCATATGTTCTGCCTCACAGCTTCACTCCCATCTCTCTCTCCTCGTGCTGCAGAGCCCATTCACTCTCCATTTGTGATCTGACTGGGCAGTCTCTCATTTTGTTTGCAGCAGCTTATTTCCTTGATGGACACCTTTGCCTCCAGGCCACTCCATCCAGCCAACAATAGTGCATGTGAAATGGTGAAATCACAGCAGATGTGGCTGTTGTGTCCCCAGCCTGCCTTGCCCAGCACTGCTGCAGCTCCTGTGGGGCAGCCTGGGCAGATTCAGAGCTCTCCTTGACCATGTCCTTCCTCTATTCCCTCAAAACCTCACTGCTGATATATATATCAAATACCACTGCTGCATTATTCTTCACCCTAAGAAGTGTTTGTCTGACTCCAGCATTCTGTAGCCATTGCCACTCCCTGCTCCTCTCACCCATGCCAGCACGGGCCAGCACTGGGACCATTCTGAGTTTACTTTGGAGCCTAAGTTGTGATGGATTTACTGTTTGTACAGAAGAGCTGGAAACGAGTGACAGAAGGGCTGGGGTTTGAGCTGGTGGTCTTTTCTACC